TCCAGCATGTCAATGCATCAGTGGGGATAAGGCATGTGGAAGCTCTTCCGGGGTGAGGGGGAAGGGCATTCTAGGCGATGAAGCAGCAAAGAGTCTAGTGACCTGGGTGAGTGCCACACCCACTGAGCATTCAGCTAACTTAGAGAATGATTACATTCCAGAAGAATTGGACTGAGTGGTTACACACCTAATAGCAAATATTTGACAGAAAATTGAAAATATTACCTGGTCGTTGGTATGTTCCTAAATAGAACACGCCACACACACCCCCAAGGCTAGATTAACATACACTTTTCCATAGGCAGGCATATTTAAGCACTACTATTTTTAGGAAAAGGAAATTATATGCAAGTCATCTGTTAAATAAAGACACAGGGAAATCCAACTTGAAACTACACAAGTTGCTCACTGAACAATAAAATAGAATAAGAAAACTAATGCAACTTAAAACATGTTCGAGCTGCCATGTAACATGGCAGTTACTCATATAGAAAAGTTAAGCAACAGTGCATATACGTTCTTAATGATGTATATAATATTGAATAGATGAGTCAAGGCTTAATAAAAGATCCAGAAATGCTTTCTATAAATTAAATTACCAAAAATTCAAGGGTAAGTATGCTTTTAACACACACAATGTTTTATCTCTGGGTTTCGAAGTATACAAGAGATCAGAAAAAGAACCAACCCTGACAATAACCTTTAATGTTCATGGTGTAGCTGTTGGTGTGTGTGCACCACACGCACACACACACACTTACACAGCACATGTATAAGTGCATGTTTATGTATAAATACACTCTCATCTGTCACATATGTACAAAGTGTATATACATATAAACACACTGAAAATAATCAACCTGTTCACTAAATATGAGTTGTTTGAAGAGTATGGATGTACAATAATCAACTATAGTCACCTCAGCATGGAACCTAGTATGCTGGCTCTCACACATTGTTTTATTATATGAGATATAGATGTCACATGTATAAAACATTCTCGTGCCCTTATAATTTTTTTTAAAAAAATTCTACATGGAAATAAATTACTCTAAAGCATAGAAATGTTCAGCAAAAGAGTAGCTCCGCAGGGTGACATGTTCATGACTATCAGACTTCAGGCAAAACAAAGCTGTCACTTACCCAGACTGGTTCTTCACTGTTACCTCTTTTGTGCCAACTCCTGGAGACACATTATAGCATAAATGTGCAAGGATGCCACTATGTTATTCAGCTAAAGCAGCAAACCATCTTAAACAAATTATTCCCCAAGTTTAATAGTTTTACAACTAGATAATGATAAGTTCCTGGTGATATGATTTACAAATGACGGGATAAATAGTATGTCCATGACTAAAGCCACTGTGGGAAAACCAGAGTCCACAAACCCTGCCCAGCCTACTTCCTGTTTTTGTTCAGCCTGTAAACTAAAAATGGTTTTGTTTTGTTGTTTTTCATTTTCCAATAGCTTCTTGAAACTTAATAGACCATTTTGGTATCTGCTAAGTATATGAAGTTCGAATTTCAGTTGTTTTACTAATGCACAGCCATGCTTGTTTGTTTTTTGAGCTATCTGTGGCAGAGTAGAGCAGCTGTGACACAAGTTCAAAGTTAAAAATATTTACAACCTGGCCCTTTAGAAGAATGGTGTTCAACCTCAGTGCTAATGTCACGTCAGACAAAATCCCCAATACAGACATACACTTGAATTGCAGAGGAGGATGACTCTGCTGGGATGGAAACCCATCCCTCAGGTGTCAAACATTCTCATTTCTTTAAGGACAAAAACCAACCCAAACTAGCTGAACCCGGCTTCTGAATGTTCTCCAATGCGTGTTTGACCATAGTGAAACAAGAACATATGGAGTTCCATGTTGTAAGACAGACCAAGTCTGTAAGAAAGTCAGGTTTAAAAATTAACTAATGCATTCTTCCAGTCATGTCCAAGCTACTCATTAGTTTGAAAAACATTAACAGTCCTAAAATGAACTAGGGATGTAGCTCAGTGTACAAGGCCTTGGGTATGTCACTACTGCTAAAGGGGGGTGGGGAGTAGGAAAGAAAGAAAACAAGCGTACTAAATGATGTTAAGCAGAAATTAAAGTGATACAAAGTTAAATGTGGGAGCTGGAGAGATGGCTCAGCAGTTATGAGAACAGACTGCTCTTCCAGAGGTCCTGAGTTCAATCCCCAGCAACCACATGGTAGCTCACAATTATCTATAATGTGATCTGATGCCCTCTTCCGGCACACAGGTGCACATGCAGATAGACCGCTCATATACATAAAATAAATAAATAAACCTTAAAAAAAAAGAAAAAGGTTTTGTTTTTGGTTTTGGTTCCTTTTCTCAAATACGGCTGTAAGAAGTTCTCATCCTCGCTGGGAAGTACTAGGAGGCAGGTGAAGGCACCCGATTGATCTGAGTATGGATAGCAGGTTCAATTTAATAGAAGTTTTAAAGAGTCTGCATGAGGTGGAGGAAGTCATGTCGCCTCCCTTGGCCCAGGCAGGCTGCCTCTTGCAAGATAAGTGCATTAAACTAGTGTACGTTTATCTGCCACTCACACTTCACTTGGGCATTTTTACCAAAAAGCATTGATAGGTGTCTCCCTGAGGACAAACATCATATTAGAAAGGAAAACACACGGTTGGATCTGGTGGCGTGTGCTTGAGATAGCAGCAGCCAGGAGTCAGGAGGCTGCAGGAGGAGGTTTGTGAGGCCCTGCTGAAGGAGAGAGAGAATGAGTGGAGGGGTGAAGGTCTTTCTCTTAGGTTAGATAAGGAGTTTATACGTTTGGTAAGAGTTTGAGTTTATACTGCTTTAAATGTCAGCGGGTCTGTCAGTGGAAGACACAGCTTGATGACAAGGAGAGGACATAAAAACCTTGGCTAGGTAAAGTATATAAAAGATTCTTCTGGCTCCAATAAACTCACAATATCGAGACGGCCCATCAGTTTGCTGAATACCTCCTAAGAAATAGTGTCTGTCACAAGGGTGAACATTGAGAAATAGCTCCTCCATGAGGGGTTAGCAGCCAAAGCCTGCGATTCCACTAAAGCCTGACCATGTGTGCTGAGGAAGCCCAGTGGGCTACAGAAGCACTTGAGTACATCCTAAAACTAGTCCAGAGGACCGGAGGAAAAGATGGTTAAGTAAGAGCCTTTCTGATCAGCTCGCCATCCACAGGAGGGAAGACAGCACAGCTGAGAGAGGAGAGCAGGTTGGAGGAACGCAAGGCCCCTCAGACTTGCTGGGACAAGTAGCAGTCCTGAAGCAGAGAAGACTGACGTATAGTAGAGTCACTTGCATGTTACTGTAAGGGCAAGGATAACTCTGAAAGTTCCAAGCAAAAATAGACAAAACTGCTCACCAAAGTCGAAAGACTCAGTGAAACTTGATTGGAAATGTACATGGAAGGGAGATAGCGCTCGCCCTGCTCCTACTGGTAACTGGAGTCTCTATTGGCTCTGCTAATTATAGATCGACTATTGTATATATAAGGGTTATAAAAATATTGGGCTTCTTATTTACAACACAGGTGTCTCTGTCTACTCCCAACCCTCACTGCAAAACCAGCCCCTAAGGCTGAGAAGGTGATATCCGGGCCATGCTCGAGCCAAGCTTGAGTAAGATCAGAGGGCTTAGTGAAGAGATAATGGTACTGAGGTGGGGCCTCCAACTTGAACCTTGAGTTTGAAATTGGGTGTGGGCAGTGTCTCAAAGTAGCAATACTTACTTTATTTTGGCTTCAGCCCCTTTCCCAGGGGCAGACCTTCACCTCTGACCTGAATCTTGGAGACGACCTTAGAAACCAGTCTGCCCTTACTCACTTATAAAGTTGGAGCCAGCTCGGAAGCAACGGGAACAAATCGAGAATTCTGGAATGTCATGACGGGACAGACCCAGCAGTGTAACTGCCCACAGCTACTCTCCTCTTAGCAGGCTGCTAGCATAGGTATTTGGACTAAAAGAGTATCTGGCTCTTTTGACAAAAGGAAACATAGAATTGAACATTTTAAACATATACTCTTGGTAAATTTACCTTAGGGACTGCTGCCCCATTTTTGCTCCTGATGTCTGCAGCCTTTAAAAACATTGATACATGATTAAAGTGCCTTGTTTTCCTTAAGATGACTTATCCGTTATAATGGATATTCAATTATACTTAATGTGTGCTGACTTGCAAAACACCACTGGCTATGGCCACCCATGAACACCTTACTTGGTAGAATGCAGTAGCAGAAGACAGCAAGTTCTAACTACTAAGAATTCTCCTATTTTCATCATTAAAATAATTGTATAGCTTTAGGAACATCCACATTTTTAATCTTTCCTAACAGCGATATAAAACTGTTTCTCATAACTATGTACTAATTGAGAAGATATTTTAGACAAATACAAACCACTTGCTTATCACTAGACTCTCTCCCATACTCCCCAGCAACTCTGTGACTATCTAAAAGCATTTATGCGCCACAGAAATGTACTCAAGAGGCTGATGATACACCATAACATCCTGTAAAGGTCTCCATGGCAACATGCAAAGTAACCCTTTTGTGCAGTACTACTCAAAGTAAAGACTGTTCTGAGGTATACTTGCCATATCTAGTTTTGCTTACCTTCCTGTATGTTGTCTGATCATGATAGCCAAGGTTGTGAGACATGTGAGTCAACAAAAGGCACCCTTTTTTTCTGGGTTTAAACCCCAATCAGTATGATCGCCCTCACAGTTTTACCAAGCCAGTGCAAAAACATTGGAAAGCTCAAATAGAAAACATTTGAAAGTGTTTGCAAATGTTTTAAGTGCTTCCCGAAAGTAGGGTTGCCTTGACAATCCTGTCTGACTAGGAGAGAAGCTTGCTCTTTTTTTTCTTTTCAAAACTTTTGAAATCATGACTTGTTTTTTGATAACAGATGCTAAAATTATACAGGTGGTTATTGAAAAATATATACTGAAGGTTCTTCACTCCATCTAGTCTGTGGCTTGCGGTGGTGGTTAAGGGGTTCCCATCAGCAGGTAGAAGGTCAGGGCAACAATGAGAAGCAGACAAAATGGGGAGGAGAAGGTCTGGTAGGCAGCCGATGGCATGAAAATGTCTTCGTACTTGTAAATACTGACAACGCGCTCTGAAGCCGGTGGAGAGTCTATGTCATGACGCGTGATGGAGCCTTTAACACAGAAGTAGGGGAGGACCCATCAAAAGCAGCACAGCGTTGAAGGGCAGAGACAGACACTAAATGCATATGCAGGGCTCGTAAGATCTGGATTCAAGTACAGAGCCATCATCAGAACTCTCTGCAATTGCCCACATGACGGAGAGCATATTGTTATCTTTACACCCAAAGAGAGTTCTTATTGATCTGCAGTTACCCCAAGATCAGACAACTTATTGTTCCCTCTGTTCTGTGGCAGCCTGTTTTAATATTTATCTGCATGAACTGAATGGATTTCTACTTGTCTCTAATAAATTCAAACTTCTGGATTTAATATGTAAAAGATATATTTTTGTTTTTTAAACATTTAAGTTTTTTTAAAAAAGATTTGTTTTATTTTTAACTATGTGTGTGTGTGTGTGTGTGTGTGTGTGTGTGTGCGCGCGCGCGGTCTGATATGGGTACTCGGAATTGAATTTGTGTTCTCTGCAATAGCAGTGTGATTAACCTGAGTAATCTTTCCAGCCTTGGAGGGGGCAGGTGATATATTTTTTTTTTATTATTTTTATTTCTTTTTTTGAACATGAAATGCTTTTTTATAGCATGTTTTACAAGGGGAGGGGGTAAGAGGGTCCAGGTGGTGGAAAAGTACAGAATCTTCTTGGCCTGTGCCTTGAAACATGTCATGGTCTATATGGTACACTGCCTTGAATTATGATCTACCTGCAGTTCTTCAGAAGATATGGTACACTGCTTGAGTTATGGTCTCCCTGCTATTCTTAAGAAGACATGGTACTCTGCTTTGAGTCTATCTGCAGTTGCTAAGCAGGATCTTGCAGCTGCCAAGCTTCAGAGGACATTGTGCAGGTGGGGAAAGGTAGGGGGTGAGGGTAAGGGCGAGGGTCCTGGCTTCTGGCATCTCCCCCTTCTCTGTTTAGTTAGAGAAGGCATCTTATGATCAATCCCAACTATGTGAATTTTGAATTTGGATGTCTAATTATGGGGGGTCTTAGACAAGTTCACAACCCCAAAACACTGATGTGAGACGAGTCACATCGATGGTCGAAGGCTTTAGGCTGTCGACGATGGGCAACGTCAAGGGACTCCGATGTGGGTGAAAGGAGGGTGAGAGCCCTGTCTTAGGCCATGTAGGCTGCACCCACTCCCAGCACCACGCACTCCTTTTCGGCTGCATTGGGTGGGCCCCTGGGAAGTGGACCTACAATAATCCCGTCATTGGGCTAACTCACAGCCATCCTAGTCTCTTGTAAATGTTCAAGTTACCAACCATTTGTCAGTTTGGGGTGTAATATTGTCATAAAGGAAGGCTCCCCAATGTTAGCGGCCATATCAAGGGTGGCCTTGGTTTAGGAAAAAGCCAATTTTTGTTGTGGTGATCAAGAGGCCAAGCTCTCTAGTGAGAGAAATGAGGGCAAAGCCAGGCATACCAGGTGATATTTTTAATACAAACAGCAAACGTTACTGATTCTGCCTCTTCAAATCTTTAGGGCCGTTGTAAACCTAAGGCTTCAAGCATGCTGAACAAACATTCTATCACTGAGCTACTTCCACAGTCCCAAATCTTGCAGATACAGATCAGCAACTCTGGACAGCACCCCTCTCCCACATAAGTGGAAGCCATCTTTCATTGCCTGTGGGCTATTATGAGTGAGCCAGCCTTTGGCTAGGGAAGTGGCACTGTGGGTAGGACTTTTTATTCTGCGAGCATGAGGATATGAGGCCCTAAGTTTGAATCCACAACACCCATGTAAAAATCCAAGCATGGTCATATGTATGTACAACCTGAGCACTGGGGAGTAAAGACTCTAAGAGTTCATTGGCCAGCAGGCCAGTGTAGCCAAAAAGGCTGCTGTCCAGTTCTGTAAGAGACTCTGTCTGAAGATAAAGTGAGTCAAGCACTTTAATCCTAGCACTTGGAAGGTAGGTGAACCATAGTGAGTTGTGAGTTCCAAGATAGCCAGGACCATATAGAGAGACCCTGTCTCAAAATAATAATAATGATGATGATGGTGATGGTGATGGTGATGGTGATGGTGGTGGTGGTGATGGTGATGATGATGATGATGGTGATGGTGATGATGATGATGATGATGATGAAAAGGAAGAAAGAAAAGAAAAACAGAAAGAAAATAAGGAAAATAGGCAAAGTATAATAAAGGAAGACATATTTTGCTCTAACCTCATCTGTACACTCACATGAATAAACCACAGGGATGAGGGAAAGAGTAAAGAAGGGAAAAGAGGAGGGGAGAAGGAGGGACTTTCCTAGCCAAAAGATTGGCATGCCAGATGTCAGTGGTTTTTTCAAGAAGAGCGGGGAAGAACAGTTTGGAAAGAATGACTAATCTAACGAGTCCTTGGATGGGACTTTTCTCCACCTGGTCACCAGTTGAAGAAGGAGATTCTGTGTGTAAAATGCTTAAGGGCTGATTGCACAGGTCATCGGCAGAGAGAACACCTCACATCTGAGGGCCTCTGGTTTAATCCTCAGCACTAAAGAAGTAAAATGATAAAGAGAAATTTTAAGAAGCTGTTTTTTTCAAGCTATGTGCTATGGTGCACATCTGTGGTTGCAGATTCCAGCAAGACAAAGGCAAGAGATCTGCTTGAACCAAGAGCTCTCCTCTCCTCTCCTCTCCTCTCCTCTCCTCTCCTCTCCTCTC